CGGTTTTGGGCAATTCATAATCAGTTGTCCACAAGATTGCGCGAATACTGTACCAACCAGCATCGCCTAGAGCACCTAGAGCATCAAGGTCGGCTTTTACACGAATGTCATTCTTTAAAAACTCTTGGTCACCAAGATAAGAAAAAGTGCTGTGTACCTGATAACATAACATAAGACCATATCGGACTTCAGGGATCGAATCAGAGTCCATACAGGATTTAAAGTGTCAAGACAAGTTTGTAGGAATCAAGAGTCCATAACAAGGCCGGCTCCACAGGCAAAGAGAGTGAAGCTGCCGCTTTAGGCCCCAAAAATTACATTACATCATTTATATACTATTTCATCAAAGGTATATTATAACAATTTTTGTTATTCATAAGAACTTAAATATGGGGGATTTGCATCTATACCCTCTTTTTTGGTCACGTTTTAACTTGTGCCCGCTTTGGGAAAAAAAATTGAAGCGTACCCACTTTTTCACGTAACTTCAGCATACGGGGCTGAAGTAGCAAAGGCAATCACGTAAAACTTCAGCATTCTAGTAGACGAGCCTAAAGTAGCAAAGGCAATACGCTGAAGTTTTTTTGTCCTAGATAAGATGCTGAAGTTATTTAGTTCATTTGTAAAAACTTCAGCACTAAAATAGCTGAGGTTTTTTTGTCCCGGATTCATTAGTTTTGTCATAAAACTTTTTCAAAAATTTCAGCAGAAGATGCTGAAGTTAATTAGTTCATTTGTAAAAACTTCAGCACTAAAATAGCTGAAGTTTTTTTGTCCTGAATTCATTAGTTTTGTCATAAAACTTCTTCAAAAATTTCAGCAGAACATGCTGAAGTTATTTAGTTCATTTGTAAAATCTTCCGCACTAAATAAGCTGAAGTTTTTTTGTCATAGATAAGCTTTTTCAAAAACTTCAGCAGAAGATGCTGAAGTTACTTAGTTCATTTGTAAAAACTTCAGCACTATATAGGCTGAAGTTTTTTTGTCCTGGATTCATTAGTTTTGTCATAAAGCTTTTTCAAAAAATTCAGCAAAAGATACTGAAGTTATTTAGTTCATTTGTAAAAACTTGAAGTTTTTGAAAAAGCTTTCTAACATACTAGATAAATAATCACCTTATTCTTTCATAGTGTATTACTACTATAAAATAATCAGATTGCCAACAATATGTAAATCATAAATTTTGGAAACAGTAAACGTGAAAAGAACATAATTACGTGAAAATATTCACAAATTATTGTCTACTACCTTTCGTAATTACTTATAATTTATTTTTAAATAATATGATAAACATACTTATGGCAGTCATCCCATGAACTGAAGTTTCATAGCAGCACCAACAGCAGCAGAAGAAAGAAGAAGAGGAAGAAGAAAAAGAAGAAGAAAATGAAGGAGGACAAGGAGGAGGAGAAAGGGGTTGAAGTTGTTTAAAAAGTGGGTACAAGTTAAAACTTTTAAAAAAAATGGGTATAGGTTAAATGGGGGCGACCAAATAGGGCGCCCCGTGCAATTTTTACCTTAAATATTCAACTGAAAATATTAATATGGTTATTCAAAACTCAAAAAATATTAGAAAAAATAATTAACAACATTGCACCTTAAGCTAGAAAAAAAGTTTCAAATTAATTTAAAGACTCTTATAAAAATTTGGCTTTAGGCCTCAAAATTTATTGAGCCGCCCTTGGTCCATAAGCTCGAAGCCTTCGTTTGGTTTCTTACAACTCTATTAAGTTTCAATTTTTCGCGTCGCTCCTAGGGAATATGTTGTTGTTGCCTAATTGTCATCTCCCTTTTCTTCTAACATATGTTTAGCATTGAAATATTCTCTTATGGTTTAATTTTAATATTTGTTTTTTATCTCATTTTTTAGTTAATTTCACTTGATAGGAAATCGTAAATCACAAAAGAACAGTTACGTGTTTTTTCAAGGATTTCATGACATTAGTATTTTTGAGCTTTTATTTTATTGGCTTTGAATTTATCTGTTATCAAAAGAAAAGAGAAGAGTTGGAGCAAGTATGTTCTCGTTTAAGTTAGAGCAACTTTAGACCTTTGGTTTCAATTAGGGGTGTGCATTCGAATCGGTTTATCGATAAATCGAATCGATTATTTGTTATCGGTTTATCGATATCGGTTTATCGATTTATCGATTTCGATTTCGATTTCGAAATTTTCCTTATCGAGTTATCGATTTCGATTTCGATTTTGTTCTATTCGGTTTATCGGTTTATCGATAAACCGATAAGAAATACTTTTAAAAAAAAAATAATTTTTTTAAAAAAAAAAAAATTAGTTTTTTTTTAATTTTTTTTTTTTTGCCCTTATTCTATAATACCCTTTCCTTTACCCTAAGTCTCTAACCCTATTATTTCATCTACCACATTTAAGGAATGATCATATTTAAAGTTCAAGGGAATGAAGTTCAAATTAATGGAAGATAGAATTAGCTGTGATGATGTATTTTTTTTATACCGTTGGAGTGTTGGTGGCATACATTTGATCCCTTACTTTAGTTTCGTTGCATGTGCTTGTTGACACAATTTTTATGTTATAAACGGTGTTCGTCTTATTTTAGCTTCTTTTGGTCCATATTAGTTAGGCGTGTTTATAGTGATATACTTTTCGTGGAATCCCGCAAATTTTGTTATTGGTGTAATCGATAACCGAATCGATAAGCCCCAAAAATCGATAAATCGAAATCGAAAAAATCGAAACCTTATTGAAACGATAACGATAAGCATATGTACAAATCGATAATCGATAAGTAATTATCGATAAGGGTCAAAATCGAATCAATAAATCGAATGCATACCCCTAGTTTCAATAAACAATATTGAACGACTTTTACATTTTATTAGAAATATTCGTCTAATTTGACATATAGCTATCTAATTCTTATTGTACTTTTTATAATATAGTTAGGTATTAGTTTCAAATTTGTTATTTTGGTCATTTTTATGAATTAAAAGAAGAAATAAATGCTAAAATCTTTGTTGCTCAGACTTTACAAAAATACCATCCGAGGATTCTCCAAAAATAGTAAATTGTTGAAAAATACAATACGAGTACGACAACATTTATAAAGAGTACGAGCAATATTAGCGAAACCTCAAACTTCATTCTCATTTCTCACCGCAAAGGAAGCCCAATGGAGCTCCCTTCTTATCTTTGGCATTTCTAAAGTGTGAAATCTCTCTCTCCAGCTCACCTTTTCTTCTCCCATCCAACAAAATCAATCCACCTCATTACCCAAAAATCCTCAACCTTTTCACAGTTCACAGTTTCTGTACAACTTTTTTCCAGTTCCTCTGTACATGGTCCCTCTCTACGTCATTCTAGAGAGTACACTTTATGGCATTTTATTTAGACACAAAATTTAAGAAAGAGATTTAGTACTAATTGACGCCATTAGTCAACATACTTTAATTTCACCTCTCCCTTCACCTCCTTCTAAAAAAAACCAGCCTCGCACTAAAACTATACCTGGCATAAGTTTCACCAATTTGGGGGGTTTCTTAATTTAATAAACAAAACAACATTTTCAAATATGACCAACAAAACATAATTACTTTTTAATTGATCGCCAAATCAGACAAAAATAGTAGTCAAAAATGAAAAAATAAAACAAATCAGAAGATTACCGATTTGAGTTGGCCAAATCGCTGAGAATCAGAGAGGAACTCCTTCATCTTAACAGTACGAGGATGATGCATCCACATGGTAGCGTCCATGTACTGCACCCCATTCAATTCACACGCCTCCAAAATCGTATCCAGCTCCTTCACGTTTAACGCAACGGGCTTTTCCAGCAAAACATGCTTCCTCTTCTGGGCCGCCAACACAGCCCACTTCAAATGCAGGCTTGTCGGAAGCGGAACGTAAACGGCGTCAATCTCCGGGTCATCCAGAACAGCCTCATAACTGCCGTATAACTTTGCAGTTGACGGATACCCGTTTTCTCTAGCAAACGCCGTTGCTTTTTCGATCGTTCGGCTGCCGACGGCGGAGATAGTGGCGTTTGGGGCAAGCGCAATGGCGCGTGATACTTTCCGAGCTATGTTAGCGCAACCTAGTATGCCGAAACGTACCGCTGACGCCTCTGCCATTTTTTCCTCAAAAGAAGCTGAGTGATGAGTGGAGCAGACAGTAGACAAGAATATTTATACTAGGAAACTAGTCGTACTAAATGAGGGTAATGTCCAAAGAAAAAAAACTGTAAAATTAATAAATCGTGAAGTGAAAAAGACGAAATAAAATAGTACACCTTCCGTTTCAATTTACGTGACCTGTTTGACTGGGCACAAAATTTAAGAAAAAATGAGACTTTTGAAATTTGTGGTTGTAAACAAGTTAAAAAGGGGCTCAGAGTATTTGTGTGGTTATAAAAGCTTCTCATTACTAACTTTAAATAAAAGCACATAGAAACTGCCTTGATTGCTCTCTCTAGACTAGGGCTATCGGCGCAAGTTAAGTAAACCTACGCCGACGGCGGCGGCCATGGCTAGAGGGCGAGGAAGACCGAAGAAACAACCAATTGTTACATTAGGGAGCTCAGTAAGTGCTAGAGTAATTGCTGAAACCCTAGAAAATGGAGGAGAACAGAGAATCTCAACCCGAGTAGCAACGCATTTTCCGGCACTTTCACCACTAGAATTGACGGTGAAATTGAACCCTGGGATTAAGCAACTAAATCTCAACGGAGACTTGAAGACGCAACTGACTGGAAATGGCAAACCACGGGGAGGTATAAGCAATAATGACTCAACAAAGGAGAATGCTAAAGCAACACCGAAGATACAGGAGCCAGTGCCCAATTGGACTGGGCTATTCAATAGTAATCGTGCTGCAACTAACGGTATGTCTCTTGATTACATTCCTCCGGAATTAGTTGAAGGACCAGTAATTGTTAAGCTTGACAAAGGAGAAACAGAAAAGGAGATTGACAAATGGAAGTGGCGCTAATAGTATATGTAGTGGGAGATACACCTGGGTATAACTTCATGAGCAAATATGTGCGTCAAAACTGGAATACTGTACCGGAGCCTGAAACCTACTATCATGAGGAGGGATATTATGTTGTTAAATTCAAAAACATAGCTGATATGAATGAAATATTGTATGCAGGACCCTATAGTATTAACAACAGACCTATGATTTTAAAGCAATGGACTCCAGACTTCGATTGCAATGCAGAGTTCCTCACAGAATTGCCTCTATGGGTTAAATTCCCATATCTGCCCATGAGCTGTTGGAGCAAGGACTCATTAAGTAGGATAGCCAGTGCTATTGGTGTTCCTAAATATGTTGATAAGTGTACCGCAAAACAGACTAGAATATCATTTGCTCGAATGCTCATTGAAGTCAATGTCACCAAAACCTTGCCATCTAAAATAACAGTGATGGATCCTTCAAGGAAAACATTTCAGCAGGGAGTGATATTTGAATGGAAACTTGAATACTGTGAACGATGTCTAATGATAGACCACAATTGTGATAAGCAAAGAAGGGATAACTTGAAGACAGAGGACCATAAGCAAACTAGACCAATTGAGAGGAAGAAAAGACCTCAAAAATTAGTTTCAACTTGGGTCCCAAAGGTAAATACTCATAAGTCGCCTTTACTGGTGATCAGCAGGGCACTAGTTACGCAGGGGCTACCAAACAAGCACAACAATAAGCAGAAACAATGACAACTGAAGAGATAGATCCCCAAGCCAAAGAGATGCAAATGTTGAAAGGAAAGGCTGCTAGAGAAATAAATGGCAGACCTGTGAATCAAATAATGGAAGTTGTTATACCTGTGAGAAATGATTTTGACATACTACAACAAGATGATGATGTGATGGCAACCTTACTCCCTTCTGATTTAGGAGGGGGATTCATATGCCATCAATAATGTCTTGGCTAGCATGGAATGTGAGGGGGTTAAATAAAAGGTATAAACAAAAAGAAATTACTACATACCTTAAAGAGAATAAAGTAAAGCGCTAGTTGGATTGGTGGAAACAAGAGTCAAGGAACACAATGCAGTCAAAATTAGTAGAAAAATAGCCCCTGGATGGGAATTTGAAAACAACTATGCAAGTGCAGTCAATGGTAGAGTTTGGATGCTCTGGGATAGTGCAGTATATTATGTCAAAATTGTACAACAAGCAGCACAACTAATACACTGCAATGTGGTTAGTAGGAACCAAGTCATTGATTGTGATATGACAGTGGTGTATGGATACAACACAATTGAAAAAAGAAAGGAATTATGGCAGCAGCTTGCAGGAATCTCACAGAAGGTAAATAAACCCCAGATTATCTGGGGTGATTTTAATTCTATACTATACCCACAAGATAGACTATATGGTACAACAGTAACTAGCTTGGAAATAAAGGATTTTACTGATTGTGTGCAAAACCTGATGCTGAAATGAGCTACCATGGAAGGGAGATTACTATACATGGACAAATAAACAGCAAGATGGAGATAGAATTTGGAGTAGAATTGACAGAGCAATGGGAAATGCAGAATGGATGATGCAGTTTGGACATCTCACTACTGAATTCAAGTTGCCTCACATATCAAACCACAGCCCTATGATGATACACACTAACTTGAGGGAACCAAAGATCAAGCCACCATTCAAGTTTTTCAATGTTTGGGCATCACATAAGAACTTTCCCAAGATGGTGAAGGACTGCTGGGAACAGGCCCTGCATCCAGATACAATGAGAAACATATGGCTGAAACAAAAAGACTTAAGAGGAAAATTGAAGATTTTGAATGAAACTGAGTTCAAGGGTATTGGTATGAAGATTGAACAAGCAAGAGAAGACTTGAAAGAGATTCAGATCAAGATAAGTTCACATTACAAATACACTTGCATCAGAATAGAAGAATATAATATGCCAGCTTGAAAAGTGGTCCTTGATTGAAGAAAGTATAATGCAGCAGAAGGCTAGGGCAATGTGGATAAAACTTGGAGATTCTAACACTAGCTATTTTTCAGCAGTCATGAAAGATAGGAAACAAAAGAAACAAATTACTGAGATTGATTCTCTTGATGGAAGGAGACTGACTGATCCAGCAGCTATAAGGGAAGAGATTACTCAGTTCTACAAATCACTTATGGGCACAACAATACCAAGTGTTACAGCAGTAAATAAGAAGACCATGAGAAGAGGTAGAAAGCTGGATCATGATCAACAACTCCAGCTATGTGAAGCAGTAACAGAACAAGAAATCTATGATGGATTATGCTCTATAGGAGATGACAAAGCCCCGGGGTTAGATGGATACAATGCAGTATTCTATTAAAAAGCATGGCCAATTATCAAGAATGAAGTTATAGAAGCAGTGAAGGAGTTCTTTATAAAAGGTACTATATTCAGAGGCATCAACTATACTGTAATAACTTTGATTCCAAAAGTAGCTAATCCAGCTACAATCAAAAAGTATAGGCCCATTGCCTGTTGTACTGTCCTCTATAAAATCATTGCTAAAGTCCTAGCAGGGAGAATACTGTAAGGCCCCGGAAAATTTCGCTAAGTAATTTAGGATTTCGTGCTGTCACGTAGGCTTATTATAATATTTTTATGTGCTATTAGCATGGTGTACATCCATTGGATTTGGTAAATATGTGTATAAGTCTTATGGTAGGTAATTTGGGGTCCAAGGAAAGGCCTAAGTCTAAGAAAAATTGGAAAAAGTCCAAAATAGGCTAAAATTCCCAATAATCTTGCACTAGTCCCTACTTTGAACGAGAATATCTAAATATCTATAAGGTTTTAGGTGATGGATAACCTATCAAATGAAAGGTCTTCGAGTCTAGTTTCCAATGCTTTAAATCGTTCGTTATTTGGATATTCCTACACAAAGTTATGATCAAATTACCAAAGGCTGGAAAAAAATATGATCCTGTGTCAGATCTGCAATCTCAATGTCCATTATGCGGTCCGCATTTTTGATCTGCGGTCGCAAATCAGGACGCAAATTCGACCAGTGTAGCCCAGTTTTGGACGCCGATTTTGCGGTGCATTATGCGGCCAGCATTCGCGTTCTGCGGTCCATTCTGCTATAGCAGACTTGACATCGGAGGGTTAATTTTCTAATTTTTATAACCCGACCCATTTTAATATATAGGCTTTAGAGTTCATTTTGGGGTCATTTTCTACTGATTTTAGAGAGAGGTAAGAGCATTTTAGAGAGAGAAGGAGGAACCCAACATTTAAATCATCCAAACTTGCATCAATCTTCAAGAATCAAAGATCCCAATCACAAGTTCTTCATCTAAGAGGTAAGATTCTATACCCTAGGTTTTAATTTCGAGTTTGGAGTATAAGATGGGTTATTAAGGTATGATTCTTGGGTGTATTAATATTGTATATACATGCATGTACAACTTAGGTTTATGGGAATATTTCTTAACATAAATAAGTAAGGATTGGGTTAGGGAATGAAGAAATTTTGGAAAGGGATTTACGAGTTCTCAGCCTTGTGTTGAAGTGGTACTGGTGGGCTTGAGTTCATGATTTGAGTATGTTCGAACTTTTGCTTATTGGTGCGTGTATTGTGCAAGTTGTGGCTTAGGCCTGTATTGATGTGTCATGTCACCAGAGTAGTGTGTTGGATTAGAGGAGATCGTTGGGATCATTAATGAATACGAACGGATTCGATTTCAGCATGATGGAAGGATAATANGTTGTGACGAGCATACGGTATGTGTACCTTGTATGAAAATATGTGAATTGATTGCCTTAATTGATTTCCATACCACCAAGTTATATGTGATTGTGAGAAGTGATTTGATGTGCCTATCTTGTTATGTGCAAAGTTTGTAAAAGCTTGAGGATGTCGACATGGAAGTATGTGTTTACTTATGTGAGCTATTTGTGAATTCTTGTGATTAATGTGCCTTGAACGTTGTTAGTTAAGTCTTACGATATGATGGTGCAAGTAAATGGAAACAAATCAAATGTGGGTGTGTGATTGTGAAAGTGTTATGTGGAAAGAACTGAGAAACAAATGATGGAAGGAAATCATAAATGATGCACTTGGAACAACTGTGGTAATAACATATTTGGCTTGTTGTGGGTAATTATTGTGGTGACTTAAATTGCATATGAATTGTTGAATATGATGAAATGGTATTGATGGCTACGGAAATTCTTGTGAATTGTTGTGGTTGTTCTTTGAGAATTGTTGTTGTTGTTCTTGTGAATTGTTGTTGTTGTGTGTTGTTTGTGAATTGTGATTGTTCGGTGGAATGGGTTGCGCGCCGCAACACGAAGTAATAAGGTGTGGGTTGTGGTGATAAGGGTGGCCGAGGTAATAAGGGTGGAAAGTGATCGAAATCACTATTGAAATGAAAATATGAACAAATTGTGAAATTATTGATGTGGAAATGTGGAAGGGGAAGCAGGAGAGATTGTATGCTTGTTTGGCTTGATTGTGCCCTCTTTGTGGATCTGATTGTTGTTTCTATTACTGTTACATACCGGTTTATAAATTGTGAAATTATTGATGTGATAATGTTGAAGGGGAAAAGGAGAGATTGTGAAACTTGTTTGGCTTCGATTGTTTCTTTCACGCGCATTTGTTCGTTGATTCTATTGATATATGTTACTTGTGTGTTATTTGATTCTACCTGGGGTGAAGTTTGTTCATACATACCAGTACAATTCAAATGTACTGACGTCCCTTTTGCCGGGGGCGCTACATTCGTGTTATGATTGTAGGTGCAGGTACTTCAGTCCACCGACAATAGCATCTTATCCATTTCCCATCAGCTGTATTGGTGAGCCCCTTTCCTCTCGGGGCCCTGTGTGGCTCATGTCGCTCTTCTTCCCGGAGTCTCATTTTGGTATTTGTGTAAGGTATAGCCGGAGCCTTGTTGCCGGCATTTCCATATTATTCTTTAGTTGTAGTTAGAGGCTCCGTAGACAGGTTGTGGGTAGTGTCGGGCATGGGAATTTTAAATAGAAATATTGATGTTTGGCAATGATGTATAAAACTTGTAATACCTTTAAAGTGGCGAATGAAGTTTCTAATGAAAATGAAATGGAAATTGTTATTGATATGTTTATAGAATTTGATTAATGGAGTCCATCTCCTATTTATTCATGAGTTAGTTTGGGTAGAATGAGACCTAACAGGCTTGCTCGGTCGGGTTTACTCGGTTGAGCGCCGGTCGCGCTCCTCGGATTTTGGGGCGTGACAAATACAAAAGATTATTGCAAGCATCATCACAGAAACACAAGTTGGATTCATTCCTGGGAGAAGAGTTGCAGATAATATGATCTTGGCACATAAATTGGTGAAAGCATACACAAGGAAATATATCTCACCAAGATGTATGATTAAAGTAGATATCCAAAAAGCCTATGATACAGAAGATTGGAGGTTCCTGAAGCAGATGCTGGAAGAGCTACATTTTCCTTCAAAGTTTACTAGCTGGGTGATGGAATGCGTGTCAACTGTTAATTACTCCATAGTAATCAATGGAGAACCAACCAAACCATTTGATGATGTAAAAGGGCTTAGGCAAGGGGATCCAATGTCACCTTTTCTATTTGCTATAGTCATGGAGTACTTAAGCAGAAGCCTTAGTGAACTGAAAGATGAGAAGCAATTCAAGTTTCATCCTAAGCTGTTCCAAAATGAATATTACTCATCTGAGCTTCGCAGATGACCTGCTGATGTTTTCTAAAGGAGATCTAACTTCTGTGGGACTACTGCACACCAAGTTTGGTAACTTCACAGATGCTTCATGTTTACAAGCTAACATGTCAAAGAGTGCTATATATTTTGGTAGAGTAGCAGACCCTCTTAGGCATGATATTCAGCAACTGCTGGGATATGGACAAGGGGAATTACCTTTTAGATATTTGGGGATCCCATTGGCTATAAGAAAGCTGAAGATGTTAGAATGACAACCATTAATATCCAAGATCATTGCAAAAGTGACTTCATGGGTAGAAAAGAAACTGTCATATGCTGGTCGTGTACAACTGGTGAAGACAATTCTATTTGGAGTTCAATCCTATTGGGCACATATATTCATAATACCTGCCAAAGTGATGAAGGCCATAGAAGGTTACTGTAGAAGTTACATTTGGTCGGGAACAAATGAGATAACTAGAAAGGCATTGGTATCCTAGAGCAGAGTGTGTGTGCCAAAGGCAGCTGGAGGACTTAATCTCACAAATCTGAAAATCTGGAACAAAGCAACTATAGTTAAAACCTGCTGGGAATTGCATAGTAAGAAAGATACTCTTTGGATCAAATAGATACATGAGTACTGTATAAAAGGAAAGCAGATAACTGATATGCCCATACCTCAGCAAGCAAGCTGGATGGTAAAGAAAATACTCAAGGCAAGGGAGGATTTGGGTAATGTTGAACATAAGGCAGCAGGGAATAGGAGCATGATTAGGATCATTTATCTGAAAATGATAGGAGAGCTACCAAAAGTTACCTGGAAGAACTTAATGTATGGGAATGCAGCAAGACCAAAAGCAATCCTCATCACATGGCTTCAATTTCAAGACAGATTACTCACAGCTACAAGACTAAAAAGCTGTGGAATATAGATAGATTCAAACTGTCAAATGTGCAAACAAGCATAGGAAAACAGTGATAATCTATTTGCTGAATGTGAAGTCAGTAGAAGAGTGTGGAGAAAACTAATGGTATGGATTAAAATTGACTGGCCATCAATGAAGACATATGGAGAACTGCAGAGCTGGATAGAACAGAGGACAAGAGGAAAGACAAAGCAAGCAAAAGTATTGAAGCTGCTATACACAGAATTCATTTATGCAATATGGATTGAACGAAATAATAGAGTGTTCATGAAGAAAGTGAAAACTAGTGATGCTGTAGCTAGAGATATAGCCTATACTTGTCATGTTCGTGC